GATCAAAAATTATGATCAAGATTTATTACAAAATAAAAATCCTTTTTAGTTCTCTAACATTCCACATGATGATTGAAATAACTGTCCGGTCTTTCATTCTTGCAATACATAAAAACAACTTCAAATCGGAAATAACGAAAATGTCAATTTTATTTTAGACTTTCAACTGAATTCAATGGAAGAAATTAATCGTCAGTGCTATTTATTCATTTCACCTCTACTTTTATAATATCCACTGAACGGATCTATTTCCAAGGCTTACTTCCCAACCACACAAATTACATGAATAAATTCACCCTGTTGTGTATATGTTTAAACAATTTTGCATAGTTGCGAAATTTTATTCAAATATTCAAAATATTTTTCAATGGTATAAATCCTGACAGTTTGATGTGTTTGTTATTTGAATACCAGTAAATAGTATCTCGCATTTTCCAAAATGAAACGTAAACAAATAGTGGGCTTTGTTGTTTTTATGCAAGCCAAACATTGAAATAAATATCCAAAACTTCAAAACAAGATCTTGTTTTTCACACAATTATATTACTTTTCAGAAAGAGAAAGGACCATTTTAGAAGATCTTGAAAATTATCGTAGGTATTTTCTTGTTTAGAATTATTCCGAAGACCAAAATGAATGGATTGAAATGTCAGACAATACAGAGTTATTACATACAGATATTTTGTGTTAATACAATTTATTTTGCGTTTTTATTTTGTTGAAAAAAAAAAATTTTAGTATTGAATTATTTTCATTATTCATAAATTTTGGTATATCAATGAATTATGTATAAAGCTTTACAAACACAAGTGCAATACTAGAAAAATATTTTTACGATTGCTCATCATTTATATTCTATATTCTTCAATATTATGTTTACAGTCAAAAAATTGCAATCAGACGGTAAGTCTCAAATAATAAATAAACTCACTGAAAACCAAACAAAAGCTCTTTCCTATTGTTTTACTAAATAATATTGCTCTATTGTTATAAGATTTCTAAAGTTTTTTTTTAATTTTAAGAAGTGAATATGACATAATACGCAGCATATGTATTTTTAAAGCTTCTGTGATAATGTGCTTTTATTTATATATACAATGCTGACTCATTTTCAGAGGGCCAAACGAAGTAATCGTAATATCTACTGATTATATATTGGTTGTTTTACATAAAAATTACAACATTTTAATAGTGAATAATTTATCAATCTTAAAAGAAGTGATGTTTAGGTCGGATGTCTATAGCTATCAATAAAATTGCTTCGGAAAATAATATGAAACTTTACAGCAACTTTGCTATCAAGTAATTTAACCAGATCGTGGATGCCGTTAAATGGATTAAAATAAACTAAATTGATTATGTTTCTTCAATCAAATATAATTGAAATAAAAATATAATATTTATAACATTACAAATTACCATAAATTGATATTAATTACTCTATAATTTCGTCTTGTCTTTTTTAAAGCTGAACTACTCTCCATAGATTTGAATCAATATACGTCAAGAATGAACAGTGAGTTAAGAACTTATTCTGCTTAGCTATTTTATTCTATGTTCAATTAACGTCATGGTCAACTGTTTAGAAATTAATTTTTCTTTAATAATTCCTGCGCTAAACCAGTGGTTTTTATACACGGTGAGGTGCGCCCACAATGGGTGGTGGACAATTTTTGAGGGGGTGTGAAGCTAAATAAAAATGAAAATATTTGCTTGACTTGATCTTACTTGCCTTCTTTTAGATATTTACATCTTTTATTGTTTAGAGTTTGCGGAGCTTTTTTGTTTGTATCTTTTAATATCGTTATCGTGAAGCCTTACTATATGTTGTCTATAGCTAGTTCCTTTAGCGTGAGACTGCGCTAAACCATTTGACCTGAGTAAAGTAAGTAACCACGTTTGTAACAAGTAGTTTAGTGCAATCAAATTGAAACGTAAATGCGCAATACATTGGTTTCGGGAATAAAAAAATTTTAAATTTAATTCCTATAATCCGGGGTTTGCAAATATGCAGAAAAGTATATATCAAATTTAGTTTTAATAAGAATCTTTAGAACACAATGCAATGCTCCTCAAACTAAATATTACCTATCAGTGCTAACCATCAGCATTTTGCCACACATATACAAATAATAACAACTTTCGCAAAGCGGGATAGAATAGCATATTTTTATTTTTATTTTTAGAAAGTTTGGAATATATTGACAGTTGGTTGGACAAGAAGATGAATATCCTGAAGTCAGTTGCGCTAAACTTCTGAAACGTTAAGATACCCGTTATACTGTTGACTCAGAAAGAAATTAGGTTTTAGCAATTACAGGAAATTAGCTTCAAGCAAATTTAAAATACAATTGTATTTCTTCAAATCTTTCAAGTATAATTTGAATTCAACGTTATACTTCAATAAAGTTCTACAACAATAAATTAACGAGTTATTCTGTTAAATATTTGTTATGTAATGTATGTGTTTAACTGATTATGTTTTTTCTACATATTACCAATAATAATTATTTATCAATTTATCAGAGAGCATATTCCTCCGAACAAAAATATTTTTTACACGTGGATAAGAATATAATTTACTCACTAAATCAAGAAGCAGTTTATTATACATTGATTGATAGTTTTTTTTTTTACATTTCATTGGGAAGTGATCTAGGCTATTTTTTCGTGCAGATGTAGTTTTGGACACAACGCTGTACTATAGATAAAAATTAAGGTAGGTTCACAGTGATCCAACTACAGTTGAAGGAAAATAGTTGTATATTTCCTTGTTGGGTATTTGTTTTAAACGTAGAATACATTGTGATGTGTAAGGGAGCTTTTGACTTTCATATTACACATACCAGATATAATGCCGGTTAACATCATTGAGTGTGGGGTATTTGGGAAGGGAAATATTTTTAAATTGAAATAGAAATTATATGAAAATATGACCAACTAATCGTCTTAAATGTTTTGAAAAGTGTTACTCAAATATGTTTGATAAGTTGGACGTAGTTTTAAGATTGTTTCAACCTATTTTCTTTTCTTATAAAGGATAAAATCTTGGTTTTTAATATGTATTTTGGTGATACAATTATCAACCATTACACATGGATTTTGAAGTTGTTAAGTTATTAACTATATAGTTTAATGCTCATCAATAATAAGGGTTATTTTTAAATCTATTTTAGATTAGAAAAACAATGTTTAGGAAACAGGCAACATTCGAATATTCAATCTACTGTTATGAACTATGCCAGCGTTTCCCAAACTGTGTTCCGCGGGACACAAGTGTTCCGCGAGCGTCTTCCGAGTGTTCCGTGGAAAATATATCAAAAATACGTCTAAATGGGTCACCATGGCGATCTAGGGATCGTGAAGTTGTCGCCCAAATGACCGTTCAATATCGTGTCACCGTCGGCCTAAAGCGGACTAACTAAGGTAGGGTAGTGGCGTATTCGTTAACCGTCGGCCTAACTTTTTGACTGTTAAGCTCATTCTCAAATTTGCAGCAATCCTTTTGCTATAGGCAAACAAGTAGGTCTTAGGAATAAAGGCAAATGGTCAACTCCTCTTCCGTCATCCTTGCCGGATTTTACTTTGAAATGCTGAAAATATTACTCTTGTTCGCTAAACTAGATTCAGCAGATAAATAAACTGCAGCTCGCGAATTTGCAGAAAGTACTTCTATCTCCATTAGACGTAACATTATAGAGGCAAACACTACGTAATGGAAAGTAAACGACATAGAAAGGTAAAATGATTTTGTTGATTCATATACACAGCATTCAAATTGAGAAACAATGAAACATTTATAATAAATGAAATATGTAAAATATTCAATCATATTTTAGGTATGTTCAACAAAATTCTGTTATTTTTTGCGGCGCATTTGGCAACTCGCCACGACGTTTTTCTTTATCAATTTTACCCGTTCATTTTTTAGTGTTCCGCATGGCGAGATAAAAAGTGTAAGTGTTCCGTGGCTGAAAAAGTTTGGGAAACGCTGAACTATGCGATGTGAATTGTTGTTGCCAGTATGTATTTTGATATGAAAGCTACATTGCTACATTTTGTAATATACTATCTCTGATTGCGGGACAATTTAAATTATTGTTAAAGATTATCATTTAGGATAAACCTTATAGTCACTAACTAACTCAAAAGTACAAGTTTTCTCAAGTGGAATTGATCGATAACTCATTAACAATAAAATAGTTTCTTTAACATATTTCTTCATTAGGTATCTTATTGATAATATTAGATTAGAGCAACAGTCATTTTGTAGTGGAAGTTTTACGCTATAAGACATTTTTAACAAAAATCCTTCCACTTTATCCTTTAAACCTCAAATTTTTTCCAAACCGTATTTTTACCTGTAGGCTATAAAGTTTCTAAATATTTGCTATATTAAGTAACTTTATATTTTAGAATTAGCGGGTTTTTGGATGCACTTTTCACAGATTTTCAGACATGGTGGCGAAAATTGCTTTGTTATTGTAGCTCATAGCATGCAGCTATTTGACAGATTTGGTCTTATTTTATATGTATCTTATCGGTTTTTAAAATAGATAAACTACCTACATTTTGAAAAATAGTTATATGTTCCAAATTTTAAATCTCTAGGATTATTCAAGTCAATGGAAGCATATTGAATATAAATATATATATATATATATAACTGGTATTGTGGGGCCGAATATTTCACAATATCCCGTCGCTCTATAACACACCTTAAACCTAGTAATACCTACTACCTATGTAATACATATTTGATGCTGGGCATTAATCTTGTATTTTTCAAACAATCCATTTAATTTGCATAATTTGCATGTATATTCTTGGTATGACCGACATCGATAATTTTTAAAATTTGTGTACGAAACATTTGTTGAAGAATACAATGATACTATCATCGTCGCTTCCTATTTCATTTGAGTGTAAATTGTTGACATAAATATGAAATAAATGAAACAATTTCATGTGTATGATAATTCATTTATTTTGATTATAATTTCTCTAACTAAATTAAATTAACGAGGTTGATTCCCAATCATATAATGCAAATTTTGATGATAATCATTTCTCTAATAATTCATCTTCACTGTGCGTTGATAAGGGAGTCTATTTCTTGAGCCATTTCACTTGTTGCTTTTGACAATAACTCCATTTTAACTAAACAAAAAACAGAAACAAGGTTGTTATCAACAATATTTGAGATTATACCGACTTATTGCAAGGTTCATATTACACAACTAATGCGATTTGCTATAGTTTATTTATCATTTTATTTCAGTGGCATTTTAAACCCGACACTCTTGTGTACTCTAATGTACCGATTAATATAAAAAATTAATTGTATGAGGATATAAGTTTCAAATTGTGTTATTAATAAGAAGCTATATTGAAAAAAGTAATTACAAAATAATAAAATTGAACTTTTATATAAACGTATGTTGTTGCAAAAAAATTGCATGAAACTTTTTAGGCATAAAAAATGTTCAAAAGGAGAATATTAAAAAAATTATCCAAATTTTAACTTACGATTGGATTCGTTTATTCTTATCTGCGCTTCCAATAGAACCAAGCCTACAAAACAAAGTATTTCGTTAATTTTTCATTTCAATATAAAAAATTTGAGTTGATACACTAATAATTTGCGTGTGACGTCATTAAAACTACCAACTGAAATGTCAAATTCGTAATTTTCGTAATACAAATGTGAATTTCACATTAGCGATTTAGCTGTAATAGTGGTTGTGGTGATGTTTTGTTGTAAAATAACAGAAAACAACTTTGAAATATTAATTAATATCTACAACTATTTCTTAACCCTCTACCAGGGAAAACCTACTCTAAAGTTCAGAGTTGTTTTCAAAGGTATATAGCTAAATAGAAGAAGAAGAAGAACTATGTATAGAAGTTATATAGCTAGAAATAGAACTCTAGCATGCGCTAGTAAAAAGGCATAAGTATATCTTTAGGAACTAACAATTGCTAAAACAACAAATTTTGAAATGAAAAGTGCAAAATGACCTCAGGGTAAGCAGCCGTAAATTAGGTGATTGATATTCGATACTCAAAATATCATTTGATATTAATGTAGTATGTGAGAAAGAGTTAATGTAGTAAGAAATTAAAGAAGGTCTGTCAATGCTAGCAGATGCAAGATTTCAAATAAATTAAAAATACATATATATAAATACTTACTAACTGTTACCAGATCTGTCAAAAACAACAATATTAAATAAATGTCATTAAAAATATTTTTTTAAATATTTAAACAAATAAAAAATAAAACAAAAAACAAAATATTATCTTCAAACAATTTTCTACTAATATAACACCAATATAAATTATTAGGTAATTCTTAAAAGATCATGATAATATTACTTAATGATATTAATATAAAATTAATATACGTATTTACCAGATGCAGAAAGTGCCTCATCAATAAGATCTTTTTCAATTTCTAAATAAACAAAAAAGTGGTTAGCATACAAGTATTTACAGTTTTTAGGAAAATTTGTTTAATCCCTGAGTATATTTTGAGCATTCAATTACTCGATTGAGTTCTCATTAAACTTGAATAAATACGACCTAAAATCTCTTCAAAAAACAATAAACTCCAACCAGAATAAAAATAAACTAACTTACTATTTATTTCCCGCAATTTTCGAAGATCAAGTTCTGAATTGACACAAATTTTGAAATATGTAATGTTATATTTACTAATTGCAATGGTTAAATCACTGTAAAAATTTGTATGTGTGATTTAAAATTTGAAATATATTTTTTGCAATGCCAAGTTGTTTGAAAGATATCATACTGAAACTAGAATATAATGCTTTTTTTTATTTCATCTGTATATTATATCAGTTTATAGATTTTAGATATATTGCGTACTAATGTGTTGCGGGTATATATATACCTAAAATATTTCTTAGAGATTTTGCATATTGGATATTTATAGGTTTAGAAATTTCACATAAAAAGGTAACTTAATCTCGTATAAGCTGAAATGTTCGGTCATGAGCAATTATAAAAATTTAAAATATTGTTCAAATTTTTGCACAAAAATTTGTTGTCTAATTGGATATATTATTTTAAAATGAAGTATAATAAACATACCAGTGTTTTTTAAATCTTTGGATATATCTTCAAGCGTTTCAGAGTCTGAATGCAATGTTTACGGTAAAATGTAATTATAATTTTAGAAATCTGTCATTGAATTATATTAAAATTTTTTTGTTCATCTAATCGCTTCCAATCCAACTTTTCCTATGTATTGAAACAGACAGCAAATATTGCAGACAAGTATTTAAAAATCTCAATGGGTATTTCAAAACCTAATTTTAAAATAAAAAAAAATACTCGATACTCTAAACAGATTGTCATTGAAACGTGGCATAATGCTTAATATTATATTAATTATTTTTCATCAATTCAAGTTTAAAATAATCAAGTGTTATAACAATCAAAATGTCTCTATTTTAAAATTGTTATTTTTTGAAAATAGTAATAAGTAATAAGTAATAAGTATAAAAATCTAATAGTAGTTAAAATAGTTTACACTCACTTGATGCGGCAGCTAGAAAACAATATATATTTATATACAAAATTATTAACTAAATTCAATTATATTTGCCAAAATAATATTTTAGAGTAAAATATTTGAAATCTATGATTCTTGGAACAAATATCTGAAAAAGAATTTTCGATACAATCTTGCACATTATATTGTTTATTAATAAAGTTCTCTTACAGCAAGCTTGTGCAAATTACACATATCATAAGATCAATAACTAAAAATGTTGTGCTTAATAAAGTTGCAGACCGCGGCTTCAACCAGTTATTTGTATTTGGCCCTCCTGCAAGAAAGGTTGCACACCACTGGATACATAAATAATTATATTTATCAATCATAAGAAAGAATTATTCATGGCTCACATAAAGTAAGATTTAAAACAGAATACGAAGTAATTTTATGCGAAACTAATTTGAAACCAGTTTAAAATGTGAAAAACACACGAATGTAAAGAATAATTCCTTCGAACTCTGTAAAATAACTAGCTTGATATAAATAATAATATTCATTTACATTTCTGAACAGATAATAATTATATATAAATATACTTACTCATGCCAGCAATTGTTGCAGAGGTCGATTCTATAAATAATGTGAAAACATCAAAATGTGAGAAATAAAATTAAAAATAAAATACATAAACACAATATTTATGTAATCGAAAAAATAAATTAAAAATTAAAATGATTACAAAATATGGAAACAAAATTCGAGAAATCGAATTCACTTTAAATATTTCTTTCTATATTAACCATCCTCACTGAAGACAAAACCAGCCAATATTACCACTAAAGCAAAACTTCTCAGCATGTTGTATATCCGACAAATACCAAGAATGGAATAAAGTGCATGTCACATCTAGTACTGATTTTTTATTGACTAGAACATATTTGATAAGGTATGGTGAACTGCACTGAGCACTAAGTACATTGCGCAGCATGAAGAGTCGTTTACTTTGCAAAACTGATCCATATTTGGCTTAAAATCGAAAATCAAGCGTTGAATATAGAACAGTATGAGGCGATGCTGTGAGAGGAATGGGCATCTCTTGGACGAGGTAGAGGAATTGATTAGGTTTATTAGTAGTTTCATCAAGACAGAGAGTACCCAAACATATCAAATGACGCCCATGACTGGATTGGAGATGGATTTCAGAAAGTTTGATCAGTGGTGTAGAATGGGCACTTCATTCATTTGACTTGAACGCAGAAGATTTTTCTCTGTGTGGGTATTTGAAAGAGCATGTGGATCCAAACTTTCCCTGGACAATTAGTAAATATCTACTTGAAATATTTTGAACGCAAATCACAATAAAATAATTGCGGATGGCTAAAATTACGAAAAAGGAAATATCCTGGGTATGTTAATATCCATTCACACTTACCATCTTCACAAGTAACGATTCCAACCAGTATTAACACTAAGGCAAAATTCTTCATCATGTTGTCGATGCACCCGATGTCCAAGAAACTTTAAAATAAATGCATTGTGCATTCTCGTAGTTGTTATTTTTTGGCAAATACATATTAATAGCGTATGGAAAGCAGGTGTGAAAAAAGGCAATTGTATTGTTCACAATATGGCCGTGTAATTGTTTGGGGCATCTGTTAATTGTGAATAAAATGAAATAATGACGCAAGTAAACAATTGTATTGTTGACAATATGGCCGTGTAATTGTTCTGGACATCTGTTAATTGTGAATAAAATGAATTAATGACGCAGGAAAATATTTCAACTATATTCTGTTTACATTGAAAAACATTGAGAACGAGTGATTTAAAAAAGACGCCTTTTATTTGGACTAAAATATTTTTTTACTGGCAGCGTAGACAAGTTAATAATCCATTTGCCCAAAATTATTTTGTAAAACATCGTGTATGAAGCAAATGTTACAACAAATATTATGAGTTAATTTTACGTTATTCCTAAAATAACAGGTCCTCTAGTTAGGAACACATTTTTATTAAAATTAATTTTATTTATATGTATTTATCTATCATAGCACATATCTTTGCATAGTTCAGTCAATAATCTTACATTGTTATAGACAAATTACAGTGTTCCTAATATTAATATACGTTGATACATGCATTTATGTCTGTGCGTTATACGCATTTGAAGACTAAACTTTTGGTCTTGCAAAAGTAATCTATTCACAAATTTTAATTTTATCATAAATTAGGTTAAATTGCAAAATCGGTTTTAAACCTTACCAGTCACAAGTACATTACCGAGAGCACGGAATGAGGCATTTTCAATTAATTTTATTTTTAAAACTCATGGAATGTAAATAAGAAACAAAATGGAAAATACCAATATGACAACAAAAATGGATTCATGAGCAGGCAATGTTTCCCCGCATGGTAAATTTGTTATTCAAAAATCCATTTTTTCACTTACGTATAGATTTTTATTACGAGTGTTTAATTTCTGAATACTTAAGCTGTTGTTAGAAGCAATTACCTCCATACATATTCCTAATTATAAGACATGCAATACACGGTACAAACCTTTGTCTCCTTCAGTGATATGATCAGATCAGGTTCTTTTACAATTTATATCTATAATATAAATCACTGCTATCAAATTATTCTGTTTTGAAATACTGTAAAATATTGACATAAATCTAATATAAATTACTAAAAAATAATATTAGGTTGAATGTACCTCAATTGTAGTTTTGTAATTCCGACAACAATTCTGCTTACTGATACCAAATTAAAAATAGCCTTGTCAAAAAAATTGACTCATTTGAGAAAAATGTAATTGTACCATAAACCTTTCAATTTTTGTTTTAATCAAATAACATTGGGAAAATATAATTATGTTTTTTTATTTTGTCATTTTATTATATTATTAATCAACACAAGCTTTTATTTATTTAAATTTATTCTCTGAACAAAAAGTTGTTCTCTTTAATGAGAAGATAAATTTTAATTTCTGTATCAAACGGTAAATTCAATTAATAAAAATCAGTTTATTAAAAAATTGCCTAAATCACAGAGCATATGAAATATTTATGCTTTTACTATTTGCGAGGCAGTTAAATTCCTAAAATTATTGTTAGAGAATATTATTTATGACAAATATAAGAGTCACTCACTAACTCAACAGTACGAGCTTTTTGATACATTGATCGATAACTTAAAAGCAATAAAGTATTCCTTTAACATCTTCTATTATTAGGTAACATATTGATCATATTACATTAGACTTGAAACAAAGTTTGAAATGAAAGTTTTACACTATAGTCCATTTTTCAATTAAAGTGGTCCTAAATTTTTTCCAATGCTTTATTTTAATATATTGTCATTAATTGTATAAAGTTTCCAATCATTTTCCATTTTGATTCAATGTTTTAAAAGGAGTTGCTTTTAGAATACATTCCTCATAGATATTTAGATATTAGGGCAAAAATTCCTTATTAATTATGTAGCTAATAGCATGCAGCTATTTGTCAGATTTTATCGTATTTTATATTTATATTGTTGAATTTTAAAAATATAACAAATTACTCAATTTTGCAAAATAGTTTATACTCTCACATCCTAGAACCAAGATTGTAATAATTGGCGTAAACAGTGAAATGTAATTTCTGAGACTAACAATTGACGTCCGCTATTGGACACGGCGTCGACCAATAAATTTCTAAAATTCTTGTGTACTTCGTGGTTTTTCTTATATTCCAAACTTCTAGTCTTAAAGATAATTCAAGTCGATGGAAACCTATTAAATAAATATATATTTTACAAGTGATATGAGGGCGAATATTTCACAATATCTCACGCGCTCGGCTATACAACTGAAATCTTGTCACAAAGGCACCAAATAGATGAGCATTGCCCTTGTATTTTGTCAAACGTTAGATTTGCAGTTATCATGATTAGTTAAAAGACGTTCTCGGAATGACCGGACCCCGGCAATTTTTAAATGTTGTGTACGTAACTTTGGTAAAAATAGCTATGTAGCAGTTAACATTAATTACTAGACGTAACTAGAGTATGTAGTAAAATCTTTATATGTATACTCAGCAAAGCTTTCGCTTTCAAATGCCTGTAAATTGTTGACATAAATATGAGATAAACAAATTCAATTTCTATATGGATGATATTTTATTTATTTTAACAACACATTTTTTCAAAATAAATTAAATCAACAAGGTTCTTTGCCAATCATATGATGCAATTCTGATGCTATTTTCTGATAATTCAGAAGGTATCTTCACTGCGATTTGAGAAGTGATTCTATATTTTTATCCATTGCACTGACTGTTTTTGACATTAACTCCATTCGAACTAAAACAAAAACAGAAATAAGACTGTTATCAACAATAGAGATTAGATTGGCTTATTGCATGGATCATTTTACACATCTAATGCAATGTGATATAGTTTGTTTATAATTATATCTCAGCGGCATTTCAAACTCATCAGTGTTCATGCACACTTAAAAATGGAAAATTTGGATTTGATAAAAGTTTTGAATCGAATTAAAAATTTACTATAATAAAAAAAAAAATTATTAAAAAATAAAAATGAAAAATTTTTGAACACGTATTATTGATAAGAGCATTACAGAAATATTGAATGAAACTTGGAATACAATATATTTAAAATGAGAATATAAAGTTGTATTAAATTTTTAGCTAACTTGTGAACTCGGTCATTCTCATCTGCGCTTCCAATAGTTCACCTACAAATCAATGCAACAAAGTATTTATTTCATTTTATTTTCCAGTATAAAAAAGTAAGTTGGTATATATTATTTATCAAGTAATCTTAGATACTAAAAAAAAAAATATTTTAAGAACGTAAAGAGAAAAATAAATAAGTGAAGTCAGTCAACACAATTAGATGAGAGATTTTAAATAAAGCTATTGCAACATATATAAATACTTACTAGCTGATATCCGACCTGTCAAATACAACAATATTAATTAACAGTTAAGAATGATAAATGTAGGTATTTAAATACTGGTTAAATAGAGAGTGAAACATTTAAAAAAAAATAATTCCAACTTTTTCGGTATCATATTAAATCAATATAAATTTTTTTTCAGAATAAAATCATGTTTTTTTCACAAATATAACCTTTATGATGTTAATAAAACTTAAAATACGTATTTACCAGATGCAGAAAGTGCCTCATCAATAAGTTCTTTTTCCATTTCTTAAATAAATGAAAAAATTACTTGAACTGAAAATTATAACTTTCCAGTTTTAAACAAAAATTTGTTTCATCTCGAAGTGTATTTTATATTTTCACAATGAATTTAATTCGATTGGCGTCTGATTCAACTAGATGAAATATGACTTAATATACACCTGAAAGACAATGAAATCTAACTAAAATAAAAATAAACATACTTACTATTTATTTCTTGCAATATTTGTAGATCAAGTTCTAAAGTAACCCATATTTAAATAAGTATGTTATTTACTAAATGAGTATGTCATTAACTAAATAAAAAACCGTAAAATATGTGTGTGTGAGCATCAGTTATTTGTAATATTTAAAATATTGTTTTCGAAATTGCCAATATGTTTGAAAAATTCATAGTCTAAAACTAGACTATAATGCTATTTTTATTTCCTGTGTATATATTGCATTAATTTCAAGATTTTAGACATATTGCATATAAATGTATGGTGAATACATACCAAAAATGGATTTTGTATATTGAATTTTATTTATTTATAAATTCTACATAAAAAAAATATTTTTCAAAAATTTATTGTCAATATTTCGTAAAAGCTGCAATGTTCAGTCGCAAATCTCGTCCATGAGAGATCATGTGGTAAAACATCGTTTATATACTCTACAAAATTTATTATTCAATTGTTTAATAAATTATTCTTTACTAACAGTAATAAACATACCAGTGTTTTTCAAATCTCTAGATATACTTTCGGTTGTTGCAGAGTCTGAATGATTTTGTTTAATGCAAATATACTTTTAGAAATCTATAACTATGTCTATTTTAATAATTATTTATTCACCTAAGCGTTGTCAATTAAACTTTTGCTATGTATTGAAGCAGACAACTTATGTTGCACACAAATATTTACAAATGCCAACGTATTTTAATTTGGGAATTTCGATATATTAAAATACATGCAAACAGATATTTATTGAAACCTAACATGACATGTTATTTTATAAGATATTTACCATTTTTTTTTTCATACATTTAATGTTTAAAAGAATAAGATTATATTTTATAGTGATCAAATGAAAATTTCTTCATTTTTAATTTGCTCTTATTTGAAATATGCCTTAAAAGTATTAAAAAAAGTTTACACTCACTTGATACGGACTCTGTAGAAAAAAGTTATATTTTAAAAAAGTTTTTAATTTGTTGCATATGAAACTTAAAAAGTGAATATATCAAATTCCATTCATGTAAGATTTATAATCCAGTTATCAAGCCATCTGCATAGTTTAAAAAGTTTTAATAT